AACTCACGGTTGCAGGACTTCTCACGGGTGGCTCCTTTCCTTTGGAATAGTCTGACTATGACTATCAAGCTCTCCCCTAGTCTTTAATCATTTAAAAAGTGCATCAAAACCCATCTCTTTAGGAAAGCTTATGGCCTCCCAGAGTAACCTCTTCCTCACATACCTGTCTCTTGCTCTCTCCTATAGGGCAGCACTCTATTCTCTCCTCCAGCTCTGCTTCACTCTGCCTTGTTTGATTGCTACTCCTGTCCTGTTGGGTTTTACGCCCCACCTTCTATAGACTGTAAGTTCGTTTGAGCAGGGCCCTCTTCAACCTATTGTTCCTGTAAGTTTTTGTAATTGTCTCATTTATTGTTAAATCTCCCCCTTTAATAATACTGTAAAGCGCTACGGACTATGCTGGCGCTATATAAATACCAGTAATAATAATAATATAATTAAATCTAGTAACGCTTGCAGTCTGTGTTAGGACACTGTATGCATCATCTTTTTATCAGCCAACGCTCTCAGCCAGTTAGTGTCTCCCAAATTTAATGTCAAGTTTCTCCTCTAGTTAATGCCCCAGAAAAAGGGTATCTAAAGCTTCCTCAGTTATTTTTATTTATGGTGACTGTTCTGTGCAAGTTAAGACCTTGATTATGATTTCTGGATAATCTTTTCAAATGATTGAATCTTTTTGGATAAACTTAAAATTATTATTTTTTTCAAAATATTAAAATATCAAACATCATATAATAATATATATATATTAATTTACCAACAAATATAAAAAAAAATAAAGCACTGTTCAAGATATTAAAACATTTTTCAAAATATTAAATCATTTTAAAAGTTTATCCAAGAATATTGAATTTGCAAAACAATCAAAAATATGAAATTGAGTCCCAAATCATCAGTATCATATTTATTTTTCTGCATGTTTATCTTTTTTAGCATCAACTGGTAAATATACTTCTCATTGTCCCATTGTGCATTAAAAAAATAAAATAAAACACTTCTAATGCATTACTGTGTATAGCTACTGAATGTTTGTAGTACATTAGGTTTTAGGTGTGTCTAAAGGTCCTCAATAAAACCAGCTTCCCTTGCATGTTGTTAATGATATGTCAAACACACACATGTATCACACAAATTAAGACTATAGATTTGATTCACTTAAAGTACACAACAAGCTAAAGCCCTGGTGAACCCAAATATATTGCTACGGGAAACAAGGTGGAGTCGAAATCCAAAAATATAACTTTGGGGAGACATGATTTGAGTCTCTATTTCAGCTGAGTGGATACACAGTTTTAAGCAAAGATCACTAACCCAGTTCCTGAACGTATCTGTCCAAAAGACAAAAAAAAAAGAAAGACATTAAGACAGTTTGATTAATAGTAACATATCAATTCAGTTGCAATATATAGTTTACATTTATGAGAATATGAACAACTTGCAAAAATAAATAATAAAGAGAAACCGTTGAGATAGACATAAGGTTGCAGCGTTTGTTCATTTATTGATTTTGTTGGGGAGAGTGGGGTTCGACTAGACCAGTGTTTTCCAAACCAGTCCTCAAGACTCACCAACAGTCTAGATTTTTTTCCATATCTCCACTGGAATAAAACTGGGAAACACATAAATCCTGGATTGTCGGGGGGCCATGAGGACTGGTTTGGGAACCACTGAACTAGACAAATTATGGTATGCAAACCCAGTGTGGATAATTAAAGAGTAAAAAGAGTGCCATATTCCTGTCCGAGTTATAGTAGACACACTAACATTTGTTAAAATGTACATTTAAAGCACATAAACATTATAATAGCTATGGGTCAATGTCTTTGAGTTATTTTTGGATGCATTTGCAGATCAGTTCTCATAAAATGTTTTAATTCTCTTGTTCCGCTAAACATCAGGTGCTAACCTACTACTAACACTATAAAAATAAGTCAAGCAAGTTTTGGAAAACATTACTCTTCCTGTCCTAAGACACATCTTACCTTATACATAAAGGGCAACTGTCCATTCCCAGGATTTTAAATATTACTGTATTTACCAATTACAAATTTGAGGTATGAAAACTGAATGTACAAATCCACATCTCTTGCAACATATCCAACTTAGATCCTTGTCAATTATTATAAGCTGTCGTGCACCTGGAAGTCAGCATAGAGAAAGCATATAGATGGATGTGGTACAGGGATGGGATATATTTTGCACATTTGGTGGATGTGTGGGGTACTTCAAACTTTTTGGGCCAAAGTTTATCAACTATTATAAAATCTTATGGGAGTCCCACGCATGGCAACCCCAGAGATTTGTCTCCTGTTTATGTTTACTAAAGATTTAACAAGAAACAAACAAGTAGTATCATATCACACCTTGATCTCTGCCAATCTACTGAGATAGGTGCTGGAAGAGGGCATCTCCTCCAAACGTCGATGATTTAAAGTTTACTCCAATCAATGACTATGACAAAATTCAGACCGAAAAAAATGTTTTGGAAGGCTAGAGAGGTGTAGAAGACGTACCTAGATCGGAACTTCTTACTTCTAACACTTAAGGCTCTAGGCGGGATTATTTGGCTTGTTTGTTGATATGTTGGTTGCACCATTCAACAGTCCTAATGGTTTACAAACATTTGCTCAGAAACGCACATCACAATAGGGTGGTCTTTTCTCCATGCCACCCTTCTCCAATAATGATTATAAAATTCCATAAAACACTTTACAACATCTTAATTCTCTAAATATGCCTACAAGCTCACACTGTCCAGTTCTCACTACATCAGGCCTAGATGGAATGACTGACCTCCTGCCCTCTCTCATTCCACCCAGTCCCCACCCTCTAATGGTACCCCTGTTTGTCCCTTTCTGTTTGTGCTCTCCACATTCTGTAATTTTTATTTAACATGTAAAAAATTTGTATGTACTTTTCTCAACTACTTATATCTAAGGTATCATCTGTACAGCTTTGAAATTGTATATCTTTAATCCCACATTTGTATCATAAACAAGCAATGAGCAGCACAATGTATCTGACTTTGAATATGCTGAAATGATGAACATATTGGCCATACGTGTGTTTGCTATGCCATTTGATTGAAAAACAATAAAAAATTATCAAATTCAAAAAGAAAATTGCCTATAAATCAGATAAGAAGGAATTTTTAGCACCGGGTCCTAACACTCATCCGAGCTCTAACAGGTAAGTAAAATCCAAGCTTTATTTAATCCAAGTAGATAAACATCACAGTAACAAAAAGTACACAGAGCAGGGGCACAATAAGGGAGACACTTACTGTAACAGATCACCTGGCACCCCGACTGGGTACCTCCGTTGAAGGATGCTCCTAGCACTTCCTGAGGGCTCCAAGCACTCCAGCCAACACCGTAACCACCGTAGACTCCTTCAGAGAGCAAGACAGGAACAAGCTCTTACAAGAGCTTAGAAGTGAATATAGCAAGAGAGTATGCAGAGCATAGCAATCCCTTGTAGCAGTTTCCCCCAATAAGAGATGGCACTCCAAATTGAGGGTGAAGTAGAACTGACAGCTGTGGGTTTATTGTTCTTTTATACACATTCTTACACATTAGTACCACCCACAGGGTTTTGTAAAACAACCAATAAACACGTACAATACACTCAGACACTCCCACACAAAATCCTTCCCTCTGCCTGTGATGCAATTACCTTACACACAGGGGCGGACTGAGAGCCTTTGGGGCCCCCGGGCAAAATAAGATCCCAGGCCCTCTGAAGGCCAAATATATGTGCATTAAATAAATGTTAAATATAATTCATAATACGGCATTCCTTTGGATGTGTGTATTGTGAAGACCTGTGTATCAATGCATGTTTGTATTTGAGTCTGTGTGAATGCACTTGTGCATGTCTGGATGACTAAATGTGCTTTTTTGTATATAGTGTCTGTGTGAATGCATATGTGACAGGTGACAGAGTGTGTGAGGGAGAAGGTGACAGGTGGAAGAGTGTGGGAGGTTGTGACAGGTGGCAGAGTGAGGGAGGGGTTGAGTGGTGGCAGAGTGAGGGGGAGACAGTGAGTGGGTGTGACTGGTGACAGAGTGAGGGAGTGGGTGACTAGTGACAGAGGGAGGGAGATAGGGGTGACTAGTGACAGAGTGAGGGAATGGGTGACTAGTGGCAGAGTGAGGGAGGGAAGAGATGACTAGTGGCAGAGTGAGGGAGGGAAGAGATGACTAGTGGCAAAGTGAGGGAGGGAAGGGGTGACTAGTGACAGAGTGAGGGGGGGTGACTGTCACTAGTCACCCCATCCCTCTCTCTGTCACTAGTCACTCCCTCCCTAACTCTGTCACTGTGAAGGAAGGAAGGGGTGACTGGTGACAGAGTGAGGGAAGGGATGACTAGTGGCAGAGTGAGGGAAGAAAGGGATGACTGGTGACAGAGTGAGAGAGGGGGTGACTAGTGACAGAGTGAAAGAGGGGGTGACTGTCACTAGTCACCCCATCCCTCACTCTGTCACTAGTCACCCCCTCTCTCACTCTGTCACTAGTCACCCCCTCTCTCACTGTCAGTAAGGACAGAGGGGGTGTTTAGTGACAGAGTTAGGAGGGAGTGACTAGTGACAGAGAGAGGGATGGGGTGACTAGTGACAGTCACCCCCTCCCTCACTCTGTCACTAGTCACCCCCTCTCTCACTCTGTCACTAGTCACCCCCTTCCCTCTCTCTGTCACTCCCTCACTCTGTCACTAGAGTGAGGGAAGGGGTGACTAGTGGCAGAGTGAGGGAAGGGGTGACTAGTGACAAAGTGAGGGAGGTGGTGACTGTCACTAGTCACCACCTCCCTCACTCTGTCACTAGTCACCACCTCCCTCTGTCACTACTCCCTCCCTCCTTCTGTCACTACTCCCTCCCTTCTTCTGTCACTAGTCACCCCCTCACTCACTCTGTCACCAGATATCCCCTCCCTCACTCTGTCACCCCCTCACTCTAGTGACAGAGTGAGGGAGGGGGTGACTAGTGACAGAGTGAGAGAGAGGGTGACTAGTGACAGAGTGAGAGAGAGGGTGACTAGTGACAGAGTGAGGAAGGGGGTGACACAGTGACAGAGTGAGGGAGGGGGTGACTAGTGACAGAGTGAAGGAGGTGGTGACTGTCACTAGTCACACCCTTCCCTCCCTCACTCTATCACTAGTCACCACCTCCCTCTGTCACTACTCCCTCCCTCCTTCTGTCACTAGTCACCCCCTCCCTCACTGTGTCACCTGTCACCCCCTCACTCTGTCACTAGTCACCCCCTCACTCTGTCACTAGTCACCCCCTCACTCTAGTGACAGAGTGAGGGACG